TTTCTGGTGCTTTTTACTGGGAGACACTGACAACTGTAATAGAGGAAAGGATAGTTAAGCTTCTGAGAGGGAAGTGAATGGAATTTCTATATGAAGACTTCCACTTGCTATGGTAAGCAGTAGGTGATAATACCTTGAGAATAAAAAAGGAGGAAGGTAAATCAAAAGTCTGATGAAAGTAGAAAATTTTTGAATTAAGTATTCTGGGAAATGGGACAGTGAGTTGTCCAGAAAAACATATTAGAATTGCCAGGCTCTATTAAGGGCAAAGGTGAGTTTGGGTGACATGAATTCATGGCAAGTACTAAGCTACCCTGCTGTGTGATTTCTACCATCAGTATTCCAAGTCAAAATGGATAATTTGATTCAACCAGGGTTTTGGGTTTACTTTGACCAAATAGCAAAGGAGATAAAGGAACTGCCAAGAGAATTAATAAGTGGTGGTCTATCAACTTTAAGATCAACTGGCTCAGCGCCTGTGACTCAACGGCTAAGGCGCCAGCCACATACACCTAAGGTGGCGGGTTCGAATCCCCAGCCCGGGGCCGCCAAACAACAATGATGGCTGCAACCAAAAAAAAAATGGCCAAGCGTTGTGGCGGGTGCCTGTGGTCCCAGCTACTTGGGAGGCTGAGGCAGGAGACTCGCTTGAGCCCAGGAGTTGGAGGTTGTTTGAGCTGTGATGCCATGGCACTCTACCCAGGGGGATAGCTTGAGGCTCCGTCTCAAAAAAAAAAGATCAACTGAGAAAGAACAGAAGAGACTGAGTATCTAAAGGATACAGAAAACCATGGAGGTCCCCCCCCCCCAAAAAAAAGACAGGTGTAGTGGAAATAATCAACCAAGCAGCTGGGAAAGACAAAGTTGGGTTGAAGAGTATTGCATTGCTCCCTGTGAGGCAGTGTAGCATCGGGATGGAAAATCAGTATATCATGGTGGGAACAAGCCACGGAAACAGATGAGAAGAGGTAATCATTACAAACAAGGCATTCAAGAAAGTGACTGTGTAGGATGCATCCTCCACATGGATACTGAAGCCATCAAGGATGACATCAAGAACTGAAGTAGAGAGGAAAACACTGAGCCAGGCACCCAAGTCTTCAGTGAATAAGGTGAATAACAAGGTAGACCACAGCAAGGAGGAGTCACGCAGTGGGGTACAAGAGATCTCAAAGAAACAGGATAGGGAACAGCTGGGAGAGCACAAATCTCAAACCACCCCCCATCCTAAATATGCGGGCCATAGAGAACACAGGCATCACTGGAGAGGGCATCAAAAAAAGCATAGCCCTGGGACAGTGGCTGTGGCTCAGAGGAGTGGGGCGCCAGCCCCATATGCCAGAGGTGGCAGGTTCAAACCCAGCCCCGGCCAGGAAAAAAAAAAAAAGAAAAAAAGGATAGCCCTGCGGTCAGGCTTAAGCATGACAAGGGCATAATCAGGAGAGAGGGTGGAAGAGTTAGCTACCATGGTAAGTAATGAATAGACAGAAACCTAATACAGTAGAACCTCCATAGTTCCACCTCTCTACACTGACCACCTCAGGTTGACCTAATTTTCACAGATCAAACATGCACCACATGTACACATCAGTACAGGAGGCCTAGTTCCTTATGTTGACTGGTTTGTTACAGTCCTTTGGGTGGTCAACTTACAGAGAGGTTCTACTGCATATCCATTTAAAAAGCTCTAAATGGAAAGTTGGGTGAGGTGGCTCATGCCTGCAATCCTAGCACTCTGGGAGGCTGAAGCGGGTGGATGGCCTGAGCTAGAGCAAGACCTTGTCTCTAAAAATAGCCAGGCATTGTGGTGGGTGCCTGGAGTCCCAGCTACTAGGGAGGCTGAGGCAAGACAATCACTTAAGATTGCCAGCCAATCTCCCTTGGGTTGGAGTTCACACTTAAGAAGTTCATTTTTTCTGTAGTTCCATAGGAGCCATCAAGCCCCTTGATTGTGAGCTTACTTCAGCCTCCCCAGTAGCTTACAAATTGTTAAAATGAGCTGTGATGAACAGCACTCTACTTAGGGTGACAAAATGAGACTCTTTCTCCAAAAAAAAAAAAAAGTTCTAACTGATACAAGTTCATAGTGGTGATGATAATAGCTGATGAAAATGAGGGTAGTCAGACAGTAACTATCAATTTCGGGCACCTACTGTATGCCAAACACTGCAAGCACTTCACACTTAATCTTCACAACAACCAGGAGACAGATAATAGCCTCCTCAGCCCCAGGACTCTGAACTAAAGGAAGAAGCAACCTCAAACAGAAGTGACAGAACTGTAGGTGCCTGGGGAGGCTTACGGGCTTTTTATTTATTTTATTTTTCAAAAAGTAAATTTATTTCGGGTTAAGTGAGAGTACAAATAACCAGGTCCAAATATTTAATTTTGTTAGGTAGAGTCCCTCTTGCAGTTACGTCCCACACAAAAGGTGTGCCAAACCTTACGGGCTTTTTAAATGTTATTTTAGGGATTTTACGGCTTTAGCTCAGAGCAGCAGGAACCAGCCTGACCTGCAGCAACTACATTTTCAGCAACTTCAACCAAATAATACTCAGACTGGAGGGAAATCAAAACTAGTAATAATAATTTATTGAGCTTCACTTTGTGCCAGACACTACTGGTTTGAGTCAACGAGCTCATCTGATCCTCATATTCAAAAGGTAGGTTATACTTATTATCTCCATTTTTTTTTTTTTTTTTTTTTTTTTTGAGCCTCAAGCTATTCCCCTGGGTAGAGTGCTGAAACTTCACAGCTCACAGCAACCTCCAACTCCTGGGCTCAAACGAGTCTCCTGCCTCAGCCTTCCAAGTAGCTGGGACCACAGGCACCCACCACAACGCCTGGCTAGTTTTCAGTTGCAGGGATCATTGTTGTTTGGCGGGCCTAGGCTGGATTCGAAACCACCACCTTAGGTGTATGTGGCTGGCGCCCTAGCCACCTGAACCACAGGCGCCGAGCCATTATCTCCATTTTTAAGATGAAGAGCCTAAGGTAGAAAGAGAGTGATTTGCCCAGGATTCACACAGGGATCCTTATTTAATATAGTGGCTTTTGGACAAAACTGTTTAATACATTATAGTGCAGATGCAGATCACAATACCACAGAACCCAAAAGATGTTTAACTTCTCATAATCTCATTGCATGAGATTTTTACAGGAGCAAAAACCCAGTACAAAAACCTTTTATGAAATCACAGATGGCAAACATCTGTGAACTTTATTATCCAAGAGACTTCCCCCAGATAATTCTGATTCGTGAATCTGGAGGAGGTTCTGAACATCTATGTATTTTTTTAATACCCCTACCAGCTATGTTGATGTGCAGTTCAGCATGGAGACTACTGCTCTGCCTTCTTTGCAGTTCCAAACCCAACCTTCTTTTGCTGTGTTGAGATGTTTATACATCCACAGGACTATGGGAAACTGAGGCAGAGAAGACTTGAAATAACAAGACTATTCAACAGAGTGTCAAGGAAAGACATCATCTACTTATGCTATTCCTCTGTACTTTTCTTAGCAGTCTCAACTATTTTATAACCAATTTCCCTTTAAGTTTGCAAAAAAAGATTACCGATCAATTTAAATCAACCTAACACTGCTGTGCTACTGAGAATTTTATTGCTCTCCAATAATTTTAACGGTACTTCAGATTTGCTTAGAAAATGGCCAATATGAGAAAAATTATTTCTAATTCAGCAATGCTCTAGATGTGGTCAATAGCAACTGAACCCTGAAGAAAAAGCTTCACCTGGGACTGTGCTAAGCTTTTGACATATTTATTTACTTGATCGAACACCACAAACATCCAACATATGCCAGGCACTGCTGTAAGTCCTCTACTAATATTAAGTATTAATCTTCAAATCTTCACAACCACCTACAAAGTGGGCATTACCACCCCCATTCTCAGATGAGGAAAATGAGGCACAGAATAGTTTAGTAACTTGCGCGATTTTACACAACTGGTAAGGGAAAACGTGACTATGTGGCTTCAGAGTCCATGCTCTGAATGACTATGCTTAGTTTCCAAGGACCTACAGAGCAAGGCTTACCTTAAAACTTTGGTTTTCCTCACTCTACAATTCCTACATGGCACAAGCCTACTTCTCCAACCTGGAAGGCATTCCTTAAGCTAGTCTAACATACCCCTATGTTCTTAAGGTTTTGCTCCCAGCCTAAACATCACTGTCTAAATTATAAACTCTTTTCCCAGCCTGTACTTCCCAGCGCGCTCAACGGGTAATTGTAATTACGCATTTCTTGATTCATTTGTTCCCCCTCTTTTTCTCAACACCTGTTGACTTCCAGTGTGTCTGACACGTCTGTCTTGCTTATCTTGTATACCCATCATGGAATCCCCCACCAAACAGTCCAAAGTAAGGGCCTGAAATAAAGTAAACTCTCAATAGCGTTTGTTTTATGAATACATAGATGACACTCAATTCTTTTGTTTTCTTTTTCTCTGACATATACCTGTGCTGGCACCACCACCACCACCACCACCACCTAGTAGTGGAGGCAGTAAGCTACGGGCTCTGCAACTAAATATTATGTGGTCCTGGGACAAGTTATTTCCTCCTCAATGGCCTGAGTTCCAGGAGCACAACTGAGATAAAGACAACCCCCAACAGAATGTAACCTACAAAGGAGGTTGCCTCCACTTCTTCTCTACCCCCTACCGCATTATCAAGGCTAAAGTCATTATTCGTTTCACGCACGTCTTTACAGAAAGATTTTGGCTGAGATGGCCAAAATCAAGTCTGCCTGGCTCAGTGCTTTCCTCCCATTCACAGTACCCCAGGCTGCAATGGCAACATGCCTGGCAAAACCCCAGGAGCTCACAAATTATCAGGTAAATAAATGGCAGAAGCCAAGCGAGGATCGCGCAGAGTATCGCATCTGTTAGGGCCTCCAAGCATATTCACGCACAGGCCCGCCTCCCAAATAGGCCTTCACCTCGCAGGCGCCGGCCCCTGACCCCGCGCCCGGCGCGCACCTCTTGCACAGAGAAGCATCTTCACAGGTGCCGCGCACGCCCTCGTCGTCCGTGTCGCTGCTCGAGGTGGCAGTACAGGGCGGGAAAGGGGACTCCCTCAGGCTAGCCGCCATAGGAGGTGGAAGTTTGGAGGTGACTTGCCCACCAAAAACATGAAGCGGAGGTTTACAGACAGCAGGGCCAGGAACCAGCTTCAAAGGAGCAGGCTCCACCCACTCAGCTGTCGCGACGCAGTGACGCCAAACGCGACCCAGGAGCCTTAGCGCTCATTGGCTCTTCTGCACTAACGCTCATTGGGCAATTTCTCCGCCCGCGCAGGAGCTGCTGGGACGACTATTTGGCGCGGTCCACAAAGCCCGGAATTTCCCCGAGGGTGGGGGCGGGAAGACACGCGAGGAAAGCCGCACTGCTTTCTGGGAAGTGTAGTCTTAGGTGTCTGGGGAGGCCACCTGGCGACCCAACTGAAACTTTATAACTAGAATTAAGTGAGCGCTGAAAAGCTAGCTGTGTTCTCTCTAGCGGAGAGTAGAGAATCCAGCCAGAACAAATGCGTATAAGTTGTTACATTCAGTCAAGGTTCAGTATCATCGAACAATTAAAAGAAAACAAATTTATATTTGAGACAGAGTCTCACTTATGTCGCTCTCGGTAGAGTGCTGTGGCATCACAGCTCACAGCAACCTCCAACTCTTGAGCTTAAGTGATTCTCTTGCCTCAGTCTCCCGAGTAGCTGGGACTACAGGCGCCCGCCACAACGCCTGGCTATTTTTTAGTTGGTTGTCATTGTTGATTTTAGCTTGCCCAGGCTGGGTTCAAACCCGCCAGCCTCGGCGGTGTATGTGGCCGATGCCGTAACCACTGTGTTTTGGGCGCCTAGCCTCAAAGAAAAATTGTCTCTGTCGGGGACAATGCTAAAGTCTTTGCACACAGAATTTCCTTTGACATCTTGGAGAGCCTCGAATGCCCAAACAAGATCCCGCCCTTCTCTGCTCCCACACAGCTAAGTGACCCTCATTATTACAGGGATCAGACAGTGGAGGAGGAATTATTCAGACAAGTCAATCACACCCTTCCATGGGAACCAGAGGTCATCCTACGTTTTGTTACTACAAAGCCTCCAACAGGCCCTGCTTGTTCACTATGTAATGCAGTGCAACCCCATGTGTCCCTGCATGGTGTGCAGTGTCTTCCTCTCCTGGGCTATGAGTATATGTGACTAATAAACTGCTATTGATTGCACCTGTCTAGTGTCAGGTCTGGTGTGTTCATCTATTCCCACATCTCCACAGTGGGAGTTCCTCCCCCATGAATGAAGTGAAGAGGTGATAAAGTCAACACTTGGCACCACCAAGGGAGGGTCTCATCCTTGACTAAGGACACCTAAGGAGCTTTAACAAACTGTTCCTTTGCTGCTAATTAACTGGTTTTATATAAGGCAGCACTGACTGTCTACAACATAACTGCCTCTTGTTGGCCAGGTTGCACTTCAGCTACTGAGTTCTATTATGTCAGGGAGGTGTCATCTCTTCCCACCCTAACTAATGTTAACTGACTATATATCCTGGTGCAAAGTGCCATCAGGTGGCCTGTATCAGCCAGGTGTTCTCTGAAGCTTCCACGTGGGGGCAGCAACAATACAACACCCTACTTGCTAGTGTTTGAGTTCCACCCACTAGGGGTCAGGCAAGAGCTCTTTGGTCACTGCGTCTAGCCTCATGATCATCACTGGCTGGTTGGGGCAAAAGCAGCACAATCCTGGGGACAACCTTCGTGTTTCTGGAGTGGAAAAAGTCCGCCCCCAGGGAAGATTTGAGAATGGCTCTCTGGTAACCTCCTACAGTTGTTGTTCGGGTGAGGGTAGTGATGTTTCCTGTGGTCCTGCTTCCCTGGCTGCTGTCCTGTACTCTCCTGACCCCAAGAGGTACATGTCCATGGCAGTTGATGGCCCAGACGCTGATAATAAAAACCAAAACTGTCAGTCCAGGTGCAGTGGCTCATGCTTGTAATCTTAGCACTCTGGAGGCCAAAGCAAGTGGAGTGCTTGAGCTCAGGAGTTCGAGACCAGCCTGAGCAAAAGTGAGATCCTGTCTTTACTAGAAAAACTAGCCAGGCGTTGTGCCAGGCACCTGTAGTTCCAGCTATTCAGGAGACTGAGGCAAGGGGATCTCCTGAGTCTAAGAGTTTGAAGTTGCTGTGAGCTAGGAGGCCACAGCACTATATCCAGGGCACAGAGTGAGAACCTGTCTCGATAAATAAATAACAAAAACCAGTCATTTGCTATTCAACTGCTATCCACTCTGATGGATGCCATTGCTACCATCATCACATGCAAAACCCCAAGCCATCACACTTTTCCCCAAGAAGTAAGCTCATGATCAAGGGGCTTGATGGTTCCTACGGGACTACAGATAAAATGAACTTCCTGGATGTGAACTCCAACACAAGGAAGATTGGCTGGCATTTCTTGGGGGGAGAGGAGGACAGCCCCCTCCATATAGGACCAAATGCTGGGCTGCTTTCCACATGACCACCCAGAATATCCATAGCACATGTGAACTGATGGGGAAAAAAAAAAAAATCTGTGACTTGAGGGAATTTATTCAGGCAAATAGAACCCTTATCCACCTGTGACTCTGCTACACTTAAATATGGTATTAAACATGTTTTATTAGTATAGTTTTGGCTAATGCACTCTTGCCTATTTCAAGGTCCTCTCTCAGCCACAGTTTTCCTTTACCCAAAAGGATACATCTTTACCTTGCTACCCACAAGCTACCTAGATCTCTGCCATCACACACAATCTTTGCAGGCAGGATCTTAACTGCATCTACTTTTCTGCTGGCATAAAAGTATATGACTCCATTTATGGCATTCTCCTTTGAAAAATGTTTTGGCATACACTTTTTATTTTTATTTTTTTAATTGAGACAGAGTCTCACTTTGTTGCCCTTGGTAGAGTGACGTGGCATCACAGCTCACAGCAACCTCAAACTCTTGAGCTCAAGTGATCCTCTTGACTCAGTAGCTGGGACTACAGGTGGCCACCACAATGCTGGGCTATTTTTTTAGAGATGGGGGTCACACTCTTGCTCAGGCTGATCTTGAACTCCTGAGATCAAGCAATCCACCCACCTCAGCCTCCCAGAGTGCTGGGATTCCAGGCTTATAGGCGTGAACCACCCATGCTTGGGTTATGCTTTTTCAGGACATGGAAGTCCAACATCTTTTAGTATCTTTAGGTTCTGGAGGCAATAGATTCTTTTTTTTTTTTTTTTTTTTTT